CCCACCCAAAACAAAATATTTCCTATTATGAATGATTGGGAAATAAACCAAAAAATCCGAATCATCTTCAGCAAATCCACAATTTGCCACTGGTAAAACCACAATTTCTCTTCAAAACATCGCAGTCTTTGGTGAAGAAACCCGCCCAAGCAACCCAAGTAACCCAACAAACCCCTGCTGTCCCCATATTGTACCAGGTTTGCTGGTGAAACACTGATTAAACCTCTCCATTTTACTAGTTAACTCTGATTTTTTCGATGGCTTTAAACCCTGACGTTACATGAGTTCTTCTGCCAAAATCATTTTTTCTAGACACATCTTCCCCTTTGACTGGTGTCAATCTCACTTTTGGCAAGTTAGATTCACCAAATTTCAGTGATTTCAACTGATTTCGATTTCAGCGAAAAACCATGTCCAAAAAATCAAGTCATCTTCAGAGCTTTATTTAAAAATCACATATACCAATGGTTGGTAAATTATAATAATTCACTAATCTGAAATAAGGCTATTTTGGGATGATTTCCCTTACCAACCTTTAATCCAGTGAGGGAGAACAGTGAGGTCGCAACATAATTTACCCTGATCTAGAGATGAGTTGGTATGGAAGAGCTGGTTTAGTAATAAACCATGGCTGGTACCCCCCATATAAAAAACCAGCCTAAGGGTTTATTCATCCAGAGTTGACATTAGTTGGATTCCTATGGATAATAACAATCATTGACCATTATCAACCATTATTAACCATCATATAACCATTATATTACCAGATGGTAATAATGGTCATATGCTGGTTAATATAATGGCATATGATGGTTATTACCATATTATATTACCATTGTAAATATGGGTATTACCCACAGTTATACCCAGATGGTTCATGGTTCATGGGGTCATTACCCGACGCCGTTTTTTTTTTTGCGCGCGCCGCGGGCATGGCCTCGACGGCGCCGGCCTGCTCGTGTCCTGCGGTGACGTAGAGCATGATCTGCGCCAACCACTTGGCGTAGAACCTGAGTCGGGCCAGACTGGGCCAGACCTGGACCTTTTGAAAAAGTATCCTGAAAGGGTCATCCGGCCATCCTTCACCATCCACTTCAATCCCAGTCATCTTTGGGGTGTCCATGGGGTACACAAATTACAATTGAGTTGGGTGATGATAAATAAAATGGGATTTGGGGCTACCTTTGTTTTGGGGAACGAACATTATTTTCCCAGGTACACATATGGAGGTTTCCTAAAATGGTGGTACCCCTAAATCATCCATTTTAATAGGATTTTCCTGTATAAACATGTATAAACCAGCGAGCTATTGGGTTACCCCCCAGTTATGGAAACCTCCATATGGATTAATGATGATCAACAATGGTAATGGGCTTTAAAACCATAGGGAATAGTACAACTATGTGGTTTATGATTGCTACAACCTATAACAAATATCACTTTAATAGGATTTTCCAATATAAACATGTATAAGCCATACAATTTTGGGTTACCGATGATGTTCCCGTTACAACTGTGGATGATTGGAAGCACCAGGCGGCACTCGTCGATCGAGTGCCTAACGTGGAGCCGAGCGAGCCAGCGGGCTGCGAATCAGCGAGCCAGCGACTTCACAGTTCAGCCAGGTGCACATATATTACATATTGTATATATATATATATATATACAGATATGAATATACATTAGTGTATATATTTTTTTGTATTATATATATATCACATAATATATAGCATATACATATAATAGTTGTCCAGATTTCCTGGGTTCTCGGGCACTGCACGTTGTCGAAATTTCGTCAGAGATCAGATCCCGACCAAAGCTGTCGACGGCTGATCCCTTTCAGGGTCGCAGTTGAGGATAGAAGCTCCTCAGAAATAACTAGTAGCTCTGTTGGTTTTTATCATCATCGTTGGTCAAGCTATGTAAAAATCCATATTTCCCATTAATATCCCATTTTTCATTGCTTATCTCATGAAATTTCCCATTATACCACCGTTAAATCCCATCTTTTTATGGTAACATCACCTTATCCTGGAAACCATGCTGAAATGTAAGGGGTTTAAAGTTAGGGGTATGGGATTATGACACACGGTCGTTACAAGTGTGGTAAATGATCAAAAGCCACGAAAATTTTATGGATTATTGTTTGCTGGTTGGTGGTTGACCTACCCCTCTTAAAAATATGAAAATCAGTTGGGATGATAATTCCCAACTGAATGGAAAAATAAAAAAAACAAACCACCAGCCAGCTTGTTATACCCATATATCTCCATTGTATCTCTGTTGTATCTTCATAATCCGCAATGAGATCCCCATTGATTGGGTAACCCCTATGAGCCAACTTAGATAAAAGCCGATAAATTCACCACTTCTCCAAGGATACCCTCCGGTAGCTATAAACCTCCATTTAGCTTGGGGAAAATACCATTGAATCCCCATTCGACACCTATTAAATCCACATTAAATCCACATTATATATGAATAAATCCACATTAAATCCCATGAAATCCCATGAAGTCTCTATTTCTTGATGCTTGACACCACCACCACCCTATCGCCCGCACGTTTTTTCGCCGCGCAGCTCGTAGGTCTCCTCCACCGTCTGCGTGTTTTGCTCGAAGAAATCGGGACCGGAACGGCCCAGCATCGATGGAGACGCCATCTCCAACTGGAAGAAGTACTGCCTGGAGCTCCGGAAACTGGGGAAACTGGTCATCCTCGACTGCTTGGTGATAGACTTGATAGTGTAACTACTTGATGGTTAATATAGGGTTAATCTATATCTATATCTATATATATATATATATATATCATCTGCTTGGTGGTGCAAACACACCATCTTGAAAAATGATGGAGTTCGTCAATGGGAAGGATGACATCCCATATATGAAATGGAAAATAAAAGCCATGTTTGAAACCACCAACCAGTCGATATATTGGGTAACCAGTCGGGTAAGGATTAAAATTCCCAAGATTGGACTATTGGATTCCGTATTGGATTATGAACGTCCCCTGTTTATTAACCATATATAAATAGGGATATGTGATATGTAGGATCTTTTTGACAGATGTTTTTTTGAATGAATATTATAAGGATTCTCCATTCTTGGATTATGAAGATCCCCTATTGTTGAGGATTTCCCGTTCTTGGCTTATTAACATCATTGAAAATACCCAGTATATTGGGTAGTATCATCCCCTATCATTAACCACCACGGTTTTGAACACTGCTCATATGGGCAAACCGATGGGAAACTGGGGAAAGAGATGAAGGAGAGATGGGGTTTTCATGAGGAAAATGAGGCTCTACACGTGAACATTACATTCTTATGGGGGAACGAAATGGGGAACAATTGGGAACGATTCGCAAACATATGGGAAAAAACAACGGGATATTGACCAGCAATCATGGGGATATAACCGGAATATTGCTGGTGATCTATTTCAACCACTTGATTCATGGCCTAAGTGGTGAACAATAGGACACGTGTTGAAACATTGTAGGAAACATTGGAAACATGGGAGGAAAATCACCATCTATCATCTGAAAACGATCTGTTCTTGGGGGAAGTTTGAAACTGATCAAATGGGGAAACATTGGGAACGATTGGCAAAGGGCGTGGGCTTGCAATTTTTGGGTGGTTAACATCTGAGAAAAAGGCTGGTTTTGCCAGCAACAGGGATGATGATAAGAAATTGAATGTTCGGAGGGGTTGAAACACAGGACAATTGAGCACGTGACCACCATTGAAGGATAAACATCATAGTTTCAGTGCGAAGATTTTACTCTCAAGGGAGACATGACCACCATTACACGATCAGAATAGGCTGATGGAGATCAACGATTTTGTGGAGGTTTAAAACGCTAAAATCAGGGTGTTGTCACCAACCAGAAACCATGGTGTTTTCAGCTTTGGATGCCGCTTGGGCGAGGCTGCTGGCAACTTTCCCATGTCTAGATGCCCCCATTTCAATGATCAAAGGTACCTAAAAATCCTATAAATCCATTTGCACGTAGCTATAAACATCTATAAACCATTAAATCATATTAAATCTAGATTCTAGCCGGGAAATAGCTGTCAAAATGATTTTGGTCTTTAAAACCTAGAAATTCGACCTACGGTGGGAACAGTATCAATAGCCATAAAGTCCCGATGATTTTCCAAAGCCATCCTCGGCGACCGGAAGAAAACGGCCGCCTTGCCATGGCTTTCATTTCAAAGTCCTTAGCCAAGTCCTCCTGCGCCAAGAATCGCTCGCGATTTTATGGTGATTAGTATACTGAGGTCATCATGTTGATGCACACTTGGTGAATTTGATGGTTTATTGGAGATGAGATATAACTATAGAGTTGATCGAAGGAAGTTTAGAAGTTAAACTTCCGACAATATGGACAGATGAAAAGCAGAGCAGGGAGGAGGCAGAGAGAAGAGAAAGATCAGAAGAAAGAAGATGCAGATGCGCGAAAAGGTAGGAAAGTCGCAAAACACTGAGTTTTTCCAATGGTTTGTGGCTCCGGAGGGTCGAAAAGTAGGCTCGCTAAAGCGGCGGGTGCGGAGCCAGCTGGCCAGATGAGAGATGAAAAGTTGCACGCCGTTGTGGCGCGAAGCACATTTGGAAGTCAAAATGTTAAAAAAACACCAGGGGTTCTGACCTCTTTTGGAAGTTGTGATGTCGAAAAAGTGCACGCCGTTGTGGCGCGAAGCACCTTTTGAAGTCAAAATGTACAAAGCACACCAGGTTCGGACACTTTTGGAAGTTGCGATGTCGAAAAAATGGACGCCGTTGTGGCGCGAAGCGCATTTCGAAGTCAAAATGTACAAATCACACCATTCTCGAACCACTTTTGGAAGTTGAGATGTTGAAAAAGTGCACGCCGTTGTGGCGCCGCGAAGCACATTTTGAAGTCAAAATGTACAAAACACACCAGCGTCGGACCACTTTTGGAAGTTGAGATGTCGAAAAAGTGCACGCCGTTGTGGCGCAAAGCACATTTCGAA